GGGCCGGCCCGCCCGCTACTCGGGGCGCAAGGCCGTCATCGTGAAGGTGAGCGCGGGGCCGCCCTGCAGAGCGGGCAAGAGGCCGGAGCGTTGCCGCTGCTCTCCGTTTCTGGAGGCGTCCGCACAAAACGGGGGGCCCTGCTGGGCTTTCGCGGCGGTGGCTGGCGCTCCGCGGTGCCATCGCCGGCTGCGGTCGGTGTGTTTCAGAACATCGACGATGGCACTTCCGACCGGCCGTACAGCCACGCTTTGGTGGCCGGCATCGACCGCTACCCGCGGAAGGTGACTGCCGCCATGGGGAAGAAAAAGATCGCAAAGAGGTCCAAAATCAAGTCCTTCGTGAAGGTTTACAACTACAACCACCTGATGCCCACCCGGTGAGTGGGGCCACAGGAGTGCCGCCAGCGGGGCTGCAGCCTGCTGCTGGCAGGGCCAGAGAAGTCTCGTCTGCTTTCAATGATAATAGTTCTGCAGTGTTCTTCCGGGTGAACGCTGGGAGTCACTGAGATTCTTAATTAGCCGGCTGAACGAACGCGGGGCATGTGCTCTGCAAAAACAGGGACTTGGGGGGTGTGAAGCTGAGGGGAAGTATTAGTGAACTTCTGAAATAAGGCACCTGGCTCTCATTTCAGCCACGCTCGCTTTCCTCTTGATGACAGGGTGTCAGTGGGTGAGCCTTTGAGACAGTCATAAGGGTCTGGGGTGCTGGCAGAGCTGGTGTAGCCCAGTGACATTTCTTCCCGTCCCCTTGGAGCTCCTGTTGGTGCAGGCTGCCAAATACAACGTGCTGGATATAGCTGCTCATCTCTTGGGAAGTGTGTAGCTGTTTCCTGTGTAGGCTGAATTAAATGTCATTGGATGCTGTGGTGGTTTGGTGATTTCCTGAAATGAGAGGACTTTAAGAGCTGTAGTCCCTTAACCTGGCACTAGTACATGCATTTGACTGGTTCGGGCTGCCTGCTGTGCTTTCATCCCTGTGCTAGGTACCGTGACTCTTTTGAACCTTGCCGCTCTCTCACCCAGGTATTCCGTTGATATTCCTCTGGACAAAACAGTGGTCAATAAGGACGTGTTCAGGGACCCTGCTCTAAAACGCAAAGCGAGACGTGAAGCCAAGGTGAAATTTGAGGAGAGGTGAGTTGGAAGCTCATCTGTTCAGTGGTGTGAGCACCCGTCCCTGGGGCGAGGACTTGGTGTGGTTGTGCCACAGCCTGCGTGAGTCCCAGGTTGGACCCTTCTGCCCCAACCTCCTTGAATACATTTTTGGTTGAGTACATTCCTCCTCACGTTCTGTGTGTGTCTTGACACAACTGTCTCTTCAGGGAGCTGGTGGGTTGAGATGGGGAACAGTTTACCCACAGCCGTAGACCCAGGCTGACATTTATGATGATGCTGCAGCCTCATGCCAGCACGAGTGGGGCCTTTCGGGTGCCAGGTGACAGATCACTTGGCATCTCGCCACCAGTTCATCGGCTGTCCCTCGCTGGGCATAGTGGGACAGGGCAGCACTGAGGCTTTGCCCAGGAGTGTTCCAGGTTAAGACTTCATTTTCAGTTTTCTGTTCAGAAACTCCTTTAGTGGAAGGAGCTGCGCGGCCTCAGCAGGACGCAGGGTGTCTCGCAGGCAGTCCAAGGTGTTGGCTGTTAGAAAGCGCTCTGCCCACGGTCATGGGCTGTTCTCCAAGGGCATCTCCTGATGGCTGCCCCCCATGCAAGATGTCTAGCGGGACTGCCGTGTGCTGCCCTCTTATCTCTTGGGGTGGAAGCCGCCATGGCGTGGGTGTCCTTCACAAGGTGGATTCATGAGAAAATCTGGAAGCTGGCGTTTCCTTCCCTTGGCAGTGTAAAGGTTTAGAGCAGGTCTAGCTGCAGCCCAGGCTGAAGAGACCAGGCAGATTACTCCGGGTAAGCCGGGTGCTGCATCCTGCCCATGTGGGAGGATACGGACAGCTCAGGTGCAGGTCTTGTGCTGCTGCCCGCTGGTACGGAGTGTTAACTGTTGTGTTCCCCTTCTTTCAGATACAAGACGGGCAAGAATAAGTGGTTCTTCCAGAAGCTGCGGTTCTAAAGGTGTAACAAGGTTGCATCAATAAATGTTTATCAAAAACCATTTTTTGTTGTATAAAAAAAAAGCGTTGCTAGGCCTTTTTCTCTCTGGTGTGGATGCTCTTGCTCTGCGTGTCCATAAGAGCTGGGAAAGCCGTTGCAGCCTTCAGAGCGTCTGTGGAGCATTGTAGGGCCCAAGCCGTGGGTGAGCCTGCTGCCTCTGTGGGACTGTCCTTGGGCATCCCCGTTCTTTCCCCTCCCTGCTGCCCAAGGTGATCTCCATCATTCCAGCCCCTGCTGGAAACTGCTCATTCCCAAAACCCCGGTGGTCCCTGGGAGAGGGAAGGTGAATGGTTCGTCCCAGGTGCCTTCTGCTCTCCTCTCCTCTCCAGCTGAGACATACAGCCAGGCAGAGGGTGACTTGTGTGGTGACTTGGCAGCGGCCGTTCAATGTCTGGTCACCCTCGCCAGCCTTCTCTGCTGCGGCAGGGACGGGGTGGGGGTCGAGGACAGCTCGGGCTGTCACATCCCGGGGGATGCGGGGAAAAGTGGCTGAGCCGCTGGGGCTGGGGAGGGCTGGGCCGCTCCGGGGAAGCGAGTTCCACGGGGAAGAGGGTGCGGGCGAGCGCAGGGTGGCTGGGCCGGCGGCGGCCCCGCGGGGAACGGGTGGGAAGATGGGGCTTTCGGGTCAGCCCCGCCCGCGGGCTGTCTCGGTTGGGGCTGCTGCCCCCCCGCGGGGCCGGGGCGGGGCCGCGAAAGCGAAAGGGAAAGGCGAAGCGAAGGGCGGGAGGGGGCGCGGAGCCGCAGGCAGGCAGGGCAGCCCCGGTGCTCGACCCTCCGCACGGACAGGGCTTCCCCCGCTGCCACCGCCCGACACCGCCGCCGTTCTGCCGCCAGCGCCGCGGGGATGGATGCGGAGGAGGTGAGGGGCCGAGCCCCCGGCACCTGGGGGGCGGGGGGGGGGCGCTCAGGGCAGCGTGGCTGAGGACCCCTCCTGCCTTTAGGACTCCTTTATCCGGCTGCCCAGTCCCGGCAGCCTGGAGGACGGCTTCCCGGAGGTGACCCCCGAGCAAGTCCAGCAGCAGATCGAGTGTTGCAAGGTGGGTCCTGCTGCATCTGTGCGAGGCGGATGGGGTCGTGTCTGAACCGCCCCGGGACCCGCCCTAGCCGGGCCAGGCTGTGAGCTTGAGTGCCTTGGTTTTTCTTGGACCAGGACCGGCGGCGAAGGGGGTATGCTGTGGTTAAGAGACCCTGTACCGGGGTCCGGGGCTCTGCACGGGGAGCAGCCGCCCTCCTTCCCAAAGGAGCTGCGTGTGTTGGGGCTGGAGAGCCAATGGGGGGGGGGAAGCGCAAAGTCTGCAGGGTCTCACCGTCTGATGGCACCTCTCACAGGAACTTTGTAGTGTTCTGGAGAAAGAGCATGCGAAGCTACAAATGGCCAAGGAAGCTGTAGAGCAAAGGACACAAGAGCTGAGGAAAGAGGGAGAACTTCTTCATAAAAATATTAAGCAACAAATGTCCTTAAACAGAGATGAAGACAGATCCTGCCAGGTTGGTGGTCAGAGGACTCGTCTTGGGCTTGGAAAGGTGGCGGTGGGTGGTGGGGCTGCATCACTCTGCTCCCTGCCCTGAGATCACTTTGCTCTGGACCTGGTGGAGGTTTCACAGGATGTCACGTACATCAGGCCTGTGCCGAGGAGTAAGCTAGTGCCACAGTAGAGGAGGAAGGGCTATAATCGAACACGAGGAGCCAGGGCAGGGCTGCAGGCAGTCAAGAGCAGAAAAACGGTGTGGATGGAGCCGAGTCCAAGAGCGTTGCTGTGTTTAAAACAGAGAGCGTGCTGCAGCCCCTCGCAGCCTGGTGGTTCCCTTACTGCCCCCTCCTTCTTTCCTTCCAGGTGGGCATTTTTTTAGCAAAGGACGAGATGAACAGACTGAGGCAGGAGAAGCAGGTGCTGAAAAAGAAACTGGAAGAAGTGAAGAAGAGGGTCCTCTGGGAGGATCCAGTGATGGTAAGAGTGTGTGCGGGCGCTTGGGTCCACTGGCAAGGGGTGCGAGCCTTGCTGGAGAGGCTGCAGGTGAATGCAGCTGGGCACTGTGTGACAACTGACACATCTCCTGCTAGTGGGTGTCTCCTCTGTCAGGGCCAGAAGCTCCAGTCATGGCTTTGGGACTCCAGGCACAGCCAGCTCCTAGGAGAGACTCTGCTGAGGCTCTCCAGCTGTTTATTTTGAGCCATGAGCTTGTTTCTAGTCTGTGGATTGGCAGGGACAGGCCCTGTGCGGGGTCCAGTCTCCTCCAGGTGTTATCTGTGTACTCAAACCTAGATGCTGCCTGCCTTGCCAGAGAAGAAGATGGTGTTTAAGGGACTTGTGACAAACAAGGACAACATGAACAAGCTGATGCTCACCCCACTGATCCGCTACCCTCTGCTGGGGGGCTCAGCTCTCATCACCTTTGAAAAGGCAGAAGGTAAGAGAAGAGTACTGCCACAGCCAGGTGTCCTGCTCGATCGGCTTTGGGGCCTGCCATGTATCCCCTCCCTGGGCCAGGGCTCGGAGCTCTGCCCCCTCTGCTGGCATTGCATGGGGCTTATGCCCCTGTCCCCTGGGCATTAGCTGCCCCGTGTCCTGTCCCGCGGTGCTTATGGAGCAGGCGATCAATCCCCTGTACTGGGGGCTCTCCCTGCTTGCAGTGGCCCAGAGGATCATAGAGGCGAAGGAGCACGTGGTTGAGCTGAGCTACGGGGAGGACCTGGAGGAGCTCGATCGGTGCAGAGTGCGAGTGCAGGCAGCACCAGTGGATATACTGCTGCCATCTGCCCTGGAGGTAGGTCCCGAGGGCCCACTGCTCCCCGCACTGCAGAGAACCATAGAGCTGCCCTGGGCACGCACCAGCTTTGCTGTGCCCTGCTCCGCCACTACCCAAGCTTGCCTCTGCCAGGTGACTGGTAGTAGCCCAGCTCAGCGCATTAGTGCCGCAGCTCTGCCGAGCTGTGGGCCCGGCCCTGCCCTGTCCTGGCACTGACCAGCCTGTGCCACCCGCAGATCGGGCTGACTTGGAGCAGCAGGAGTATCCTTGTGTCTGACCTGCCCAGCCTGGCCATCCCCGAGGAAGCACTGCTGGACAAGCTGGAGCTCTTCTTCAGCAAGACGAAGAATGGGGGCGGCGAGGTGGAGAGCAGGGAGTTCCTAGACAACTCTGGCCAGGTGGTGCTGACCTTCGTGGAGGACGGAGGTGCGTGGGGTGTACTGAGGTCGGGCTGCTGGCTCCGGGGGAGACACAGGTTGTCTCCCAAGAGCAGATGGAGCTGTGTCTGTGGGGAGCGGGGAAGGCGGAGTGAGCCCAGACTGTCTTGTCTCCCCTGAGACTGTGTGGGTGCAGGTGAGCTGGAGCTGGGCAGTGCCAGCCTTGGTGTCTGTGCCAGGGATGTAACCTCCCCTGGAGCTCAGCAGGGGCCTGGGTGGCTCAGGGCTTTCCCCTTCATCTGCAGTGGCAGAGCCGCTAATTGCAAGAGGACACATCCAGGTGCTTATTGGGAAAGGAAGATACGAGCTCAAAATATCACCGTGTGTGAGCGGAGACATCACTAACCTGCAGGTAAGGGCAGGAACCCTGGTACCAAGCAGCACCTGCCAGCGCAGGGTGACGCAGCACAGGTGGGGGTTCCTGAAGAGCCGCTCCCCGCACCGCTGTGCAGCCCGAGGTGCAGTTCCTGCAAGCGGCCTGAGCAGCCCTGAGCAGAGCAGCAGTCCACCCTGCTCAGCAAGTGCCCCGAGGGGACCCCTTCCCTGCGTGCTCTCCCACGGGGCCTGCTGCAGCTCACCGCCGGCTCTGCCCAGTTCCAGCCCTCCCGCTGCCCCAGGACCGTCCTGCTCTCGGGGATCCCGGACGTGCTGGGTGAGGAGCCCATGAGGGATGCCTTGGAGATCCACTTCCAGAAGGCCAGCCGCGGCGGGGGAGAGGTGGACGCCCTCGCCTACGTCCCAGTGGGACAACACGGGGTGGCCGTTTTCACGGAGGACGCGGGCTAGCGCTGGCCAGCCCCACCAGCCTGATACAGCAGAGCTCTGTGTGGTCGCTGGCCCCTGGGCACAGCGGGAATTAAAGCATCTGCCAGGAGCGCCGTGTCTGTCGTGCCGGGGATGGGACGGGGAGGATGATGGGTCCGGCGTGCAAGGGCGGTGGGCGAGGCTGGGCCCTCCACGGCACGGGGGCGGCGGGGGGCCGGGCC